AAAAAAAAAAAAAAGGAGGGTTATGTATGTAGCTCAGTGTGAATGCCTGGGTTCAATCCTCAGCACCACCAAAACAAAAAAAAACGAGCTTGGGCTCCAAGCCGGGCAGATCTGATGCCCACCAGTTCCAACCCCCAGAGGGGTGGCTCTGTCTCACCTGGAAGACGCCCTGGGCATCAGCAGTGACGGCTGTGTGCAGAGGGGTGCGGCCCGAGTGGTCCTGGGCGTTAGTGTCGGCTCCAGCATCCAGCAGCCGCTTGGCCGCATCAGCCCGGGCGTAGCGGGCAGCCAGATGCAGGGCCGTCTCCCCCGTGCGGTCGGTGCGAGCCCCAAGCTGCGCCCCCTGGCAGATGAGGTCGGAGATGATGCTGGCGGACGTATCCTCGGCCTCCTCCTCTTCTGTGGGCATCGGCTCCAGTGCCCCCCCACAGAAGGAGGCCAGCATGAGCGGGGTGAAGCCATCTGCAGGGACCAGGGAGGAAGGTGTCACAAAGGCACAAGCGCCCTTCCAGTGGATCCCATCAAGGTCACGCTATTCAGAGCCAGGGGGTCACAGGACAAAAGAGCACCGACACGCTCGGCACCCACTGGTAAAGAGTGGGACAGCAAATTGCACCCTCTTCAGGCCTAGCAGCACAAGGGCGTCCAAAGACAGCCACAGAGCAGACCGTTCGGAGAAAACACAGCCGGGAGGAACACGGCAGAGCAGGACGCAAGGACCCAGATAGCATGACCGGTATGCTACACCGGGCATGAACACTTCTGGGCTCCCCTCAGGGCACCCTGTGCACCCCATGCTCCAGCATCAAGCCTGCTTGGAGCCCAACGCGCCTGCCAGGCGAGGGATACAGCAAGGGCCAGACCCCTCCAATACACACAGTCCAGCCCCATAGCTCCCGAGTGGCTCAAGGATAAGCAAGTGATTCTACTCCGTCCAATCAGAGTGCATTCTGAGACCTGCCGGAGAAGCGTGAGAATAAGTGTTGTTTTGTTTTGTTTTGTTCTGTTTTGTTTTGTTGTACTATGAATCAATCATTAAGAGGGCAATCTTATCACTGAAGCACATCCTCAGCCATTTTATTTTACTTTATTTTATTTTTGGATTTTTGAGAGTCTCAATATATAGTTCACGCTGGCTTTGGACTCAGTATGGAGTCAAGGTTGGCCTCAAACTCATGGTGATCCTTCTGCCTCAGCCTCCTAAGTGCTGGGATTCAGGCATCCACCACACAAAGTTGTTTTTTATTTTAGTTGTTTGGTTGTTTGGCTGGTTGGTTGGTTGGCTGGGTGGGTGGTTGGAGACAGGGTCTCACCAAGTTGCCCAGACTGGCCTTGAACTTGCCATCTTCCTGACTCAGCCTTGCAAACAGCTGGGATTACTGGGATTACAGTCATGAGCCACCACACTCAGCAAGAAGACAGTTTTATACACCAGAGCCAGGAAGTGGTTTAGCAGAAGCTTCTGGGCTCAGCAAAACCAGGCAGGGTGGCACACATCTGTAATCCCAGTACTCTGGAAGGCTGAGGCAGGAGGATCCAAGTTTGAGTCCAGCCTGAGCAATTTAGTGAGACCATGTCTCAAAATAAAAAACAAGAAAAGGACTAGGCAAAAAAAAAAAAAAAGAAAGAAAAGAAAAGGACTGGGCATGTAGCTCAGTGTGAAGGCCCTTGGTTCAATCTCCAGTGTTGGGGGAAAAAATAAGTAGAGAGCGGAATACCAAATCCAGCCACCTTCCATAAATGCCTTGTTCTACTTAGACTAGTGGGAGTTGGGCTTTTATCACATACAAACATGAGCCTTGAAGAGCACACACACCCCCGAAGCCTGGACTCTCCCTAGCACTGGTCCCAAGCAGGAGGGGTGGAGCCTCCCTGGGGGAGGGACCCTGACCTGGGCCACGAACGTTGACATCCATGCCGTCAACGTCTGCATCACCCTGTGGCGGTGTCAAAGCCATGGCTGGAGCCACACGGATATCAGCAGCCACCAGGTGGTGCTGGGTCCACTGGCGACAATCCACAGGCTCCTCGGCGCCCACACCAGGCTCCTCCACCTGGAAGGACAAGGAGGTAGGAGAGACACTGTGAGCACCAGGGACAGACAGACCCAAGGCTTCTGCTCATGGCGAAGCACACAGGATCCCAGGGCACCATTGACATTCTCCCGCTCTCATAGTGGGGAAATGGAAAGGGGATGCGCTGGAGCTTGGGGAGCTCATGAAAGGAGGAAATTGGGGGCCGGGGATATAGCTCAGTGGCACAAGTGCCTGCCTGGCAAGCGCAAGGTCATCAGTTCGATTCCCAGTACCAAAAAAAAAGCAATTGGGTTTCAATTTGAGTCAGGAGGGAGAGGCCAGTAACCAAAGCGCATGATACACACACACACACACACACACACACACACACACACAAACAGAAACACACCAAAAAGGAAATGAATGATTGCACCAACAACAGCATCAATAACAAGCTGAGTGTGGGCCAGGGATATAGCTCAGCGGCACAGCGCCTGCCTGGCAAGCACAAGATTCTAAGTTTGATTCCCAGTACCAAAAAGAAAAAAAAAAGCTGAGTGAGGTGGTGCACGCCTGTAATCCTAGCACTCCAGAGGAGGCTGAGGCAGAAAGATTGCTATGAGTTCAAGACCATTCTGGGCTACAGAGTGAGTTCACAGCCAACATGGACTACATAGCAAAACCTTGTCTCAAAAAACAAAAACAGGGCCGAGGATATAGCTCAGCGGCAAAAGCGCCTGCCTGGCAATCACAAGGCAAGGTTCTGAGTATGATTCCCAGTACCAAAAAAAAAAAAAAAAAACCCACAGATCAGGGGGATTAATGTATTTCTCCAGGGATCTGACTAGTTCCTAAACAGTATGTTGTTATGAAAAGAATGAGCCCTGTGCTTGAGTTTTGCTCTGGTTCCTGTCTCCCTGTGCCATCACTTCTGCATGTACTTCTGCTACCATGATCCCACCCGGCATCAGATGCTCACCAGATGCCAAACTGACGGGGCACCCCAATCCTGGGCTTTCAGGCTCCAAAACTATAAGTAAAATAAACTTCTTTTCTTTATACATTATCCAGCCTTGGGCATTTTGTTATAGCTACAGAAAATGTAGCACATAGCCCAAGCTGGACAAAAAGAGAACCCACAGAAAGACAGCAGGGGGTCAGGAGGTCAGTCCCCTCTGGGATGAACTCAGGCAGGCCTGGGAGTAGGAAGCTGGTTGAGGAGGAACAGGACAGAGTAGGGGAACTTCCACCCACCCAGAGAACTTTGTGGGCCCCCATGGCAAATCCCCTCCTCCTTTAAGGGCACAGAGCCCACACGAGAGAAAGTGAGGTCCCAAGGCTGTGGCTGCTCTCTGGAGCTGGGGAGGTGGGGACAGCAGAGCACTCCCCACCCAAGACCCTGGAAGAAAAGGCAAGGAAGCAGACATCACCTTCAGCCGCTTGGCCTCCGGGCATTCTGTGTCCATCCAGTCTGAGGCCACCTCCCCCATCAGACTCTCACCCTTGGCCATGTTCCTGTGGGGGCACAGGAAGAAAAGGAGGTGAGGACGCTGGGGGCCTCCAGCCTAGGAATAGCTTTTGGGGCAGGGTCACAGCAAGGGTAACAGAAGCAAGATCAAGGGTCTGGATTTGGGGTTGGGATCTCAGGCCAGTAAATGCAGGGAGTGCTTCTGGATATAGGTTCGCATGAGGGGGTGAGGTACCGACGGAACGAGGTAGGTGGGGTACGGTCAGGAGTTATGTCAGGTGGCAGCCTGAGTTTTCAGGTAGAATCAGAAGGGACAGGAGTGTGGTCAAAGGTCAGACCAATGGTTATGGGATAGACGAGGGTCACAGGCATACAGCAGGGGTCAGAGGATGGTGCCACAGGCCAGGGAGGCTGGGGGTTAACCTCATACAGAAGTGTGCGTGAGGCCCTCAGTTTAACCCCGGGGAAGAAAGAAGGGAGGGAGGGGTAAGAAAGGGTGAGGGAGGGCTGGAGGCAGTGGTGGAACTGGAGATCACTGGACAGTGGCAATGGTCAGGGAGGTGGGATGCGGACCAGAGCCATGGGGTCGGCAGCCACGCGGTGATGAATCGGTGAGGTCTGGGAGCCAGTTCGGGGTGGGGTTAGGGGTAGGACCTGAGCCGGGAAATGAAGACGAAGTCAGGTCAAGGGTCGGAGACGGAGTCTGAAGTTACGGTCAGGAAGGGGTAAGAGGTCCGTCGGATCAAGCGGGGGTGAGGGCTCGCGAAAGCCCCACAGGCGGAGACAGGGGGCACACAGGGTCCTCACTTCATGCCCAGCGCGTCTTGTCCCACTGGTTCTCTCCGGCCCTTGTGGCCAGCTGCCACATCCTTGTGCAGTGCGAAGCCCTCGGGGAACCAGAGGGTGCTGTGCTCACGCTTGCGGCGGGCCACCATGACACCCAGGACGAGGATGACCAGCAAGAAGACAGCGCCCGCAGCCAGCAGCGGCAGCACGGGCAAGCTTGGCTCTGGAGGCTCCAGGGGTTCCCCTGCAGAAGACGCAGGGGCAGCTGCAACGTTGGGGCGGGGCTTCGGCTGTGGGCGGGGCTTCAGCCATGGGCGGGGCTTCCGCCATAAGCAGGGCTTCAAGCAACGGCAAAGCTTCAACTGTGGGCGGAGCTTCTTTGTGCAAGGAAGCTTCGACCAGCATTGGGGTTTCAATCAGGGGTGGGGCTTAAATCGTGGGTGGGGCCTCAGTCATGGGTGGGGCCTCAGTCATGGGTGGGGCTTCAACCAGGAGTGGGGCTTCTAGCTCCCTCCAGTACCCCACGCAAGCCCCCGCCCCAGCTCACCTCGCACATCCCGCAGTGGGTAGGGAAAGTCGAGGCGCTCCACCGCAGACAGAGCTCCCAGGTAGTCAGCCGCACTCTGGGCATCAGGGAAGCAGTGGTCATTCTCGGGCGACTGCAGGCAGAGCCTGTTGTCAATCTCCAGCATCACGACAGAACTGCGGGGACACAGCAAAGGATCCAAGAGCTCTATTTTTGCCTAATGCATCCCAGGCACCAAGCCACGCCGCCTCCCCCCAGCACCAGGCTCGAAAGAGCCATTTCTACCAACCATGGCTCCACCACCCACCTGTGCCCAGCTGGCATCCAACCCCAGTGCACCCCCAAACAGGTCTTGCTGTGGTTACCAGTGTTCCCAGAGCCACGAAGCCAGGGGACGTTATTTTCACGTCACTATTTCAGCAACTTCCCTCACCCACTCTGGGGTACAAGCCTTTACTGGGTGGATGGCTGATGCACCCACACCCAGCTGCTCCGGGCACTGACATTTTTTTTACAGTGCCGGGCCTCATGCGTGCTAGGCAAGCGCTCTAGCACTCAGCTACATCCCCAGCCTATCTCCTCTTCTGAGCTGATTTCCTTCCACCAACCCGTAGATTTCAATGTTTCCAGGTTCACTCTCCCGGGCCCACCTCCAGCTGTGTCCATTCACAGCCTTTCCCCACCCCGATATCTCTAAGGTACAGCCCTCTTTTTTTTGTTAGGGTCCTGTCCTTCTCAGACCCCTGCTCTAGCCTCAATAAACACCGTACCTCCCATCTGGCCCTGCTGTGAGGTTACCAACAATATCATTTTTTCATAAAAAACCAACCAACCACCACAAAAAAAACCCTAGCTGTGATGAACCTAGGACTTTGCAGATGCTATGCAAGCATTCTACCACTGAACCACACCCCCTTCCCTTTTTATTTTTCATTTGAAGATGCACTAAGTTCCCAGACTGGCCTTGAACTTGTGATTCTCCTGCCTTAGACTCCCATATACACCTTGGATTATAGGCATGCACTACTGTGTCACTCTACATGTTGGCTCTTAATAATGTTGAGGTCATATTGAAAGGATGAATATTAATTAGTATCATTTGGGAGGACAGAAGTTAGGATCTTAGTGCCTTCTTCAGCTAACTTGTTCTAAGATAGATATTTTATTCTGGGGGAGTTATGATGGTTTGGGGGGGGCTAGATTTTGAGACAGGGTCTGGCTATACAGTCCAGGCTGGCCTTAAACTCACTACATAGCCCAAACTGTCCTTCAAGTTGAGGTGATCCTCCTGCCTCAGCCTCTTGAGTGCTGAGATTACAGGCATGAGCCACCACATCTGACTAGATCATACATATTTTTTTTTTTATAAATGATGAGATTCCAGGGTGGGTACTGCATATTTTATTCTTTGAGTGTTTTAGTTAAAATTGTGATAGTTAAACAAAACAACTGCAGTGTTATGGTCTAGTGAACCTGTTTGACTATAAAGAAAAAAGGTTAAATGTGATATTTTGTTTTTTGTTTTTTTTGGTTTTTTCTCCGGTACTGGGAACCAAACTCACAACCTTGCGCTTGCCAGGCAGGCGCTTTTGCCACTGAGCTAAATCCCCAGCCCCAAATGTGATATTTTGAAATTACTTCTTTAGGGTTAAACACAGTTTTCAAGTGTTGTTTTTGTTTTTGTTTGTTTGTTTGTTTTTTGTCTTTTTGAGATAGGGTCTCGCTATGCAGTTCAGGCTGGCATTGACCTCACTTTGTAACCTAGGCTGGCCTCGAACTCACAATGATCCTCCTGCCTCAGCCTTCCAAGTGCTGGGATTACAGGTGTGCACCACCACACCCAGTCTCAAGTGTTATTATTACTTGTGTTTTTTTTTTTTTTACAGCCAGGTGGCCAGCCTGGTTTTCATAGCTCCTGCTATTTTCAGAAAAATCAAAATTAAGTTGTGTCCCTCCCCAAAAAACCAGACTAGACATGCCCTTACCCAATCTGCAAAGTCACAGGCCTCTCCAAAAGGAGGTAGCACTAGACTGGCTGTGCAGTTCTGGGCCTGCCCCTCCCACTACTCCCCAGAGACACTTGCTCATATCTGGAGGCATCTGGGATGGTGTTAGAGGCACCTAACGTTAAAGTCTCTGCATCCTATACTGCACAGGACAGCACCCCACAGCAAAGCAAGATCCAGGCCCAAATGCCAAAGGAGCAGAGGCTGAAAAGCCTGTAAGTGAAGTCACATATGGTGGCATATGCCTATCTTCCCAACACTTGGGAGGCTGATGCAGGAGGATCACCAAGAGTTTGAGGCCTGCCTGGGCTACATAGTGAGTCCAGCGAGCCACCTGTCTCCAAAAAATCAAAAACAAAACAAAACAAAAAATTAAGAGAAATGACACACACAAAACCCAGATCCAATGGTGTCTCTCCCTCTCTCAGGTCCTGGGCTTCCTTTGGCCCACAAGGCTCCTCCAGGTGGAATCACTCACCCGATCACCTCGGGCGCCAGCTCCCTCCGGGTCCGGGCCTCGGAACCAGAACTGGGCCGGTGGTAAGGGAAGACCATGGCCTGGCCATGCGCGTCCAAGCGGAAGCGCAGCGAGGTACGCAGGATGGCGCTGAGACGCTGTAGGAAGTCGGCGCTGGAGCGCAGCAGCTCCTCTGGTGGCATCAGAACCGTGAGGACTAGGACCCCACGGGCCAGCAGAGCCGGCACCTCGCTGGCACAGTCCAGCCCGTCCCAGCCACACTCCTCTGTGTTGCAGCCCTGATCACAGCGGCCATCGGCAAAGTGATCAGCGCAGTACTTCTCGTACACAGGGCTGGGAGAAGAGAGGGGCAGAGTAAGGGACCTTGAAGCCCCCAAAGACACACACGACACAGAGCAACGGACTCCAGACAATGCTTGTATAGGGCAATAATCTGCTGCATATGTTGGGCCTCCTGCAAATCCAGGAGGAAGGGAGCGAAGGAGAGAAGAAAAAGAAAAGACAGCCGGGGCATGAGGAGGCAGAGATGGAGTGCACACACAGGTGGTAAAGCAGGCAGCAGGGCAAGTGGATGGAGCACAAGGGACAGGGATGGAGACAGGGTGGGGAGACCCTCGGGCAGAAATCACACATAGACATGCGGATGGGGCAGGAATGAAAGGACGGCCCAGCGGACAGGCAGGCGGACTGCGGCGGACGGACAGAGACGGGCAGGGGTTACGGGTGTACGGTGTGGCTCCTGGCTCACTTGCAGGTGCGCTCTCGGCTGTGGCAGTCGAAGTTGTCATACAGGCAGGCGGGCGAGCTGCAGGCCGGGTCGCAGCGGCTGTTGTTGAACAGGCGCCAGCACTGGAGCGCCTCGCACTGCCGCCAGGGGTCGTCCACGCTCAGCGAGCAGTCGCCGCCGTCCCAGCCGCAGCCCCTGCTGTTGCACTCGCGGTCGCAGTGCCGGTTCCCGCGCTTGGCCTGGCAGGCGGCTCGCGGGCACCGAGGCTCCTCCGCGACCTCGGGCGCTGCTGCTGCTACCGGGGTCTCGCAGCGCGGCCCGGTCCAGCCCGGAGTGCACCCGCAGCGGAAGAAGGGGGCGAGGGGCGCAGGGCGACAGGAGCCCCCATGCAGACAGGGGGCAGCCGCACAGCTGACGTTGGTGCCTCCCGGAGGCAGCGCCCTGGAGCGGCAGGCGAGCCCCGACACCCCCGGGGGACATGCGCAGCGAGGCCCGCGCGGTGTCTGCTGGCAGGGGACACCTGGCAGGCACTGCAGCTCCCGGCAGGTGCGTGCTACGTGCTCGCAACGAGGACCCCAGAATGGCTGGGGGTTGGGAAGGGAGAAATTGGGGAACAGGGGAGGGAAGAGAATAAAGACCAGAAAGGGAAGTGGAGAGAAGAGGATCCGGGGTCAAGAGATGCAAGAGCAAAAAGTCAAGACTTGGAAGAAGTTGAGCCCCAACTTCTCCAAATCCTGCCCAGTTTCTCCAAGTTCCGCTAGAGGCCGCACGGGGCACTCCTTCCCCGGAAGGCCCCACCTTCCCCGAAGCCCCGCCCTACCAGGGAGGCCACGCCTTCTCCGGGAGGCCACGCCTCCGGGTCCCAACCTTGCTGGGAAACTCTCCAAACTAGGTAACTTCTGCATTTCCCAGGAACCCCTTTCCCACCCACGAAAGTCCTTTCTCCCCCAAAGCCACATCCCTCCCTGAGGCCACACCCTCTCTCCTCCGCGGGGGCTGCCACCTATGCCACTCCACCTACCTGGACACAGTGGCAGGTGAAGGTCAGCACACCGCCAGGACCTGGGCTGGGGCGGCACTGGCCTGCATTCTGGCATGGCTGGGACTCACAAGGAGACAGGGCCGTCTGACAGCGGGGACCTGAACGGGCAGGGACGGCTGAATCAGACACAACCGAAAAAGGAAAGGCAGTCTCAGGCCGACCCTACCTTTCTTGCTTACCTGTGAAGCCAGCATGGCAAAGGCAGCGGAAGTGTCCGCCTGGGTCTTGCAGGCAGTCCCGGGTGTGTGCTGTGTGGCAGGCACCCGGGCGGCACTCGTTGATGTCTGCCTCGCAGTGCAGGCCCGTATATCCCGGGGGGCAGTTACAGCGGAAGCCACCCACCAGGTCCACACAGGTACCATTGTGTAGGCATCGGGGGTCCAAGTCCAGGGATGGGCCAGGACTACAGTCATCCTCATTGATCTCACAGAGCACTCCTGGGGGAGGGGGGTGAGCAATCAGTGGCAGAAGATTCAGCCTCCTGTCTTGTCCCCCAATCCTGGCTCTGGCATACCCAGTGTCCCAGGGGGACAGGAGCAGAGATAGCGGGCCACGAGGTCGATGCAGGAGCCCCCGTGCTGGCAGGGCTGAGAGGCACACTCATCCACATCGTCCTCACAGTTGTCACCGGAGTAGCCAGTTGGACACTGTGTTGAGGCAAGAGAAAGACCCACTGAGCCCCAAGGGCCACAGACCTGCCTGACACACCCGTGAAGACACGGAAGATCCCAGCACAAGAGGACACACACACACAGACACCTGACTCGTAGGACAGCCCAGTGTACATGGAGCCGCATACACAGAAATGTGTCCCCCTACCCACTCAGACGTGGCTGGCCCCCTTCCCTCTCCCAGGGCTTACCCTTACCTCACACATATAGCCCCCCACGTAGCCGCGGCAGGTGCCCCCGTGCTGGCAGGGCTGGGCCAGGCAGGGGTCCACTTCCTGCTCGCAGTGGCTGCCAGTGCGGCCCTCCGGACACACACAGGAGTAAGAGCCGCCCTTGTCCACGCACTTCCCACCTGCCTGGCACAGGTGCTCCAGCCGCATCCCTGAGGAGAGTTGACAGTGGCATCAGGCACAGAGACAGCTACACATGGCTTCCTCTTTCTGCCCCCACCACACTCATCACCCTGCTGGCGTCAGGCCCTAGGTCCACACCTACCTAGGCTGTCACATGTCACGCATCCTCTTAGCTGGCAGTTCTCAATCACCAGCACACATGCCTTTGATCCTTATACTAGCTGTCGCACACCAGCTGTCCCACGGTGAGAGACACGCACGCCACCCCAGCAGGCTATCACACAGTCACACACACACATTCAGCCACACACTCCATCATGGCCCTGCGCTCCGTGGTGGCACCCTCATTTGGCACACCCCAGCAGATCCGGGCACATGCACCCGTCCCACACCCCCCACACACAGCCACAGGCTCCCCACTCACCTATCTGGGCTGCCGCCTGCACACAGCGCAGGCTTCGGATGTCACAGAGGCGGCCGGTCCATCCGGGGCGACAAAGGCAGTAGGCCCCGGTCTGGACACAGCGACCTCCATTCTGACAGGGAGCCTGGCTGCACCAGTCAACCAGAGTCTGCAAAGGAAACCCCCACATGTTCAGTGCCAGGGGAAGGCTCTGGGAACCGTCTGCCCCTCCCCCAAGCCTCCTGTCCTGGAACTTTGCCCCAGACCCCTCCTCCAGGACTATGGCAGGGCCCAGTCTCCTCCTCTAGGACCAACGGCCCAACCCATGTGGCAAGCCCTTCCCCTGAAACATGGCCTCAGACTCCGCCCTGCCCCCCCACAGGTCCCTTCCCCGAGCAGACCTCCAGAGTCCTGCTCCAGGAGTATGGCCCCCGGGAGCTGGCAGCCCCCGCAGGAACACACCCCCAGACTCCTCCAGAACTATGATGGCGGGCCCATCCACTGGAACACGATTCCAGACTCCTGGGGCAGGGCCCTATGGGTCTGCCCACCTGGTAGGTCCCATCCCAGAACACACCTCCAGACTCCTCCCCCAGGCCCTATGGCTCCACCCACCTGGCACTGGCTGCCAGTGAAGCCCTCTGGGCAGGCACAGCTGAAGCTGGGGTGCGTGGCACTGCAGACCCCCCCATTCAGACAGGGCCGTGAGAGGCAGGGGTCGGCCTCATATTGGCAGTGGGCTCCAGTGTAGCCAGGGCGACACAGGCAGCTGAAGGAGTTCACACGGTCCACGCAGGTCCCTCCATTGAAACAGGAGCTAGGAGGCGAGCAGAAAAGGCTCAAGCCCCACCACCCTCGTCCTTCCTCCTAGAATGGGGGCTTCCGGATCAGCCCCTTAACCTCCACAAGAAGCTGTAGCCCCAGACAGGTCATCCCATCCCTTGGCCTCAGCTGACCGATGGGAGCCACGTGCAGAACCCCACCTCCCTCAAGAACCAGTCACCAAGGTGGCTTCCAAATAGATGCTATGGCCTCATCAGTCATCAGCCCTCTCAGGTGGATGCCAAGCCAAGGCTCCCCCTTGTCCCCACTAAATCCCAGGCCCCTGAGCCCCACCCCACACCAGAGCCTGGGTTTCAAGTCAGAGCCCCACCCACCTGGGGCTGCAGTCAGGAAGGTTCTTCTCACAGTGGAAGCCTCCATAGCCCGGGGGGCAGGTGCAGGTGAAGGAGGCCACATGGTCGGTGCAGGTGCCCCGGCCGCAGGGGCTGCTTAGACACTCATCCACGTCAAGGGCGCAGCGAGGACCAGCAAAGCCAGGAAGGCAAGAGCAGGAAAAGGAGCCCACGCTGTCCTGACAGGAGCCGCCATTGAGGCACGGGTCTGCGGTCACAAGGGAGCAGGTCTGAGCGCTCACCCTGCTCCCCAGCAGCCTGGCCTGCCTGGCCATCCCTTGCATAGAGAAGAACGCAGAGGGAAGGAAACCGCATCCAACTGGTAGGACATTTGCTCAGAGGGATCAAATTCTATCCCCATCTCCTCCCTTATCTGGAATCCTCACCTATGCGAAAGGGGTGGGAGAAGGGGGACCAAAAAGGCCCTCTGAACTGCCTGAGTCACCCTCAGGTTCCGCATCCACAGTTTTAACCAGTGGATGGAAAATACTGAAAAGAAATCGAGCCAGGCATGCTAGCACATGCCTATCGCCTCAGCCCTCAGGAGCACTCAGAAGGATCTCAACTCTGAAGCCAACTTGGGCTACATACTGAGTTTGAGACTTGCCTGGGGTACAGTGAAACCCCATGAAAGACAGAGAAAGAGAAAGGAGGGAAGAAAGTGCAGTTGTTCTGAACATGTTCAGACTTTTCCCTTGTCATTCTTTCCTAAACAATACAGTGTAACAAGTATTCACATGACATTAATATTGTATTAGGTTATAAGTCATCAAGAGATCATTTAGTCTATAAAGGATTGTGCAAGTTCTTCAAAAATACTAGGCCATTTATACAAATAATTTATAAGTAAATATAGTAAAGTAAATAAAGTAAAATAAGTAAATAAGTAAAACACTTTGTGAAGAATTTTAATATTAATCAGGAGGCTGAGGCAGGAGGATCACAAGTTTGAGGCCAGCCTGAATTACCTAGTGAGATCTTGTCTCAAAAAAATGTTTAAAAAGCAACACTAATTTTGTGTATTTATTTTTTTTTTTTTTTTCTTTTTGGGACAGAGTCTTGCTACACAGTTCAGGCTGGCCTTGAGCTTACTTTGTAGTCTAGGCTGGCCTCAAACTCACAGTCATCCTCTTGCCTAAGCTTCCCAAGTACTGGGATTACAGGCGTGTGCCACCATGCCTGGCTTTTTTTTTTTTTTTTGAAACACTAATTTTAATTTTGATTACATATTGAAGTGTGTACATGTGTGTGAGAGAGAGAGAGAGAGATCTAGGGATAGAACCCAGGGCTTCACAAGCTCTCTACCACTGAACCATATACCTACTCTAAAATAATGATACTTTACATATTGGTTTAAATAAAATACATTATTAAATTTTAAATATACATATTCCAGGTTTGTTGGTGGTACACACCTCTTACCTCAGCACTGAGAGAGGCTGAGGCAGGAAGATCTCAAATTTGAGCCCAGCCTAGGGAATTTAGTGAGACTGTTTCAAAGTAAAAAATAAAAAAGGACTGGGGATGCAGCTCAATGCAAAGGCCCTGTGTTAAATTCCCAGTACCAGAAAAAAAAAAAAAAAAAAAGGAAAGAGAGAAGGAAAAGAAAAGAGAAAAAAAGAAGAAAAGAAAAAAGTGTGGGCCATACAAAGTGTTCCCTAGAATAGCAACCCCCACCACCAGTCCTCCCTGGTACTCACTGGGGTCACAGTCATCGATGTCCTGATCACAGGAAGGACCAGTGTACCCGCCATGGCAGGTGCAGCTGAAACCTCCTGCCAGGTTGGTGCAGGTGCCGTGGGGACCACAAGGTGCAGGGCCGGCACATTCATCCACATCCCGCTGACATCGTGGCCCTGGGGGCGGGAAGGAAGGAAACAGGTAGGGTCAGAGGGTGCAAGGCAGGGTCTGAGGTTACCTGGTAAAGACAAGAACGCCCCATTTGCCTCTGAGTATTTCGCACAGGCTGGAGCAGAATGTCCTTCTGCTGTCTCAGCGGGTGGCAATCCACACTCAGGAGTTGTCCCCAGCCTTCAGCTGGCTCCTGGCTTTCCCAGCCCCCCATCGCCACCTCTCCTCCACAGCTGACCCTCATGAGCTGTGAGTGTCCACATTCAGCTCTTTCCCCGGAAGGCAGCTCCCCTCAAAGGCAAGTCTGGGGGCGAGTCCCCCATGGGGCCCCCAACATCACTCTGTAGGGGGCAAGGTAGGAGGAGGTGAAGAAGAGAAGGAGGAGGAAGCGGTCATCAGTGTACCTTGCCAGCCCATGGGGCAGGAGCAGGCAATCGGCTGGCCAGGGGCAGATTCACAGCGGCCCCCATGCTCACAAGGATTAGGTGTGCAGGAGGACAGCAGTTCACACTGGCGGCCTGTAGGAGGTGGACAGGCAGAGTGAGATCATCTTTTTTTGTTTGTTTCACTGCTTTGAGGCAGATCTTGCTATGTTTTCCAGGCTGTCCTTGAACTCACTATGCAGCCCAGGCTGGGCTCACAGCGATCCTCCTGCCTCCGGCTCCCGAGTGCTGGGACTAGAGGCGCGCACCACCTTCCCCAGCAGAGTGAGACTGTCTTGAGAGACATCATGTTCCAATCCCCTCCCTCCCTGGGCTCCCCCTGCTTTGACAGCCCCCTCTCTGGGGGAGCCCCCTGGGGGAGGTGAAAAAAGAGAAGTGGAAAAGAAGCAAATGCAGATGAGAGTAGAGGAGAAAGGAAATGAGAACAAGGATGTCAGGGAGCCTTGGGGAGGAAAGGCGGGGACACACACCCTGGACTCCGGGGGGACAGGTGCAGCGGAAGCCCGTTCCATCGCTGACACAGGTGCCACCACCCTGGCATGGCTGGGACTCACAGGCGTCTCGAGACAGGCTCTGGCTGCAGCGAGGGCCACTCCAGCCAGGCTCACACACGCAGCGGAACCTGGCAGGGGAGGTGGTCAGGGATGGCCACTGGCCATGGAAACAGCAAGGAGGTCAGGTGCTGGGGAGGGGCCTCACCCGCCAGGGGCGTCGTGGCAGACACCATGACTGCATGGCTCGTGGGCACAGGGATGGCTTGGAGGTAGGCAGAGCGGAGGCAAGGAGCCGGGTGGACAGAGGCAGCGGAAGCCGTTTTCCACATCCAAGCAGGAGCCTCCCTCGCCACAAGGGCTGGACGCACACTCGTTAATCTCCACATTGCAGAGGGGCCCTGGGAAACACAAAAGCAATCTCATCCCAGGCCTGACTGGATGGTGGAGCCAACCAGGGAAGGACATCGTGTTCCAACTTTTGGCACAACACCTGGGCAACGAATAGCAACAATCTCTCTGTCTCTCTCTGTCTCTGTCTCTCTCTCTCTCTCTCTCCCTCCCCCCCTTCTCTCTCCACTAGGTCTCACCATGTAGTTCAGGCTGGCCTTGAATTCGCTATGTAACCCAGGCTGGCCTCACACTTGTGGTGATCCTCCTGCCTCAGCCTCCCAAATGCTGAGATGACAGGTGTGTGCCACGATGCCTGGCTAAGAACCTCCTTTGCTTACAAGCTCTTACACAAATGAGAACAGCCAGCTCTTCAACTCAGAGCTCCATTGCCCTGGATCACCCAAGACTTTCATTTCTACCCACTAAAAACTATCTTAGTACCACTCAGACACAACCTGGTCTCGAGTCTGGGCATCTTCATTTTTTTTTTTTTTTTTTGGTACCGGGAATTGAACTCATGACCTCAGGCTTGCCAGGCAAGCGCTTATGCCGCTGAGCTACATCCCCAGCCCCAGCTTCATTCTTATAGCAGAAAAATCATAAGTCAATATGAGGACAATGCCATGCCAACATGAATCTCAGGGCATGGTAGGGACGGTGTCATTGGACACGTGTGAAGAAAGAGGCAGGGAAATCTAACCACCAGAGGGGAGGGCCTTTCCCCTCACCTTACCAGGACCCTTGCCTGTAGCCACCATCTGCCCACCTGTGAAGCCAGGCTGGCAGACACAGTCATAGCGGTTGATGCCATCACGACAGACTCCAAAGGTGCAGGGGTTGCTGGCACAATCGTCAATGTTAACCTCGCAGTTCACACCTGGGGGAAGGGAACGCAGGAAGAGGGCTATTACTGTCACTCACCACTGGCTCCACCATCCAGTCAGGCCTGGGATGAGGTTGCTTTTGTGTCTCCCAGGGCCCCTCTGCAATGTGGAGAGTAACGGGTGTGCGTCCAGCCCTTGCGGCGAGGGAGGCTCCTCCTTGGGTGTGGAAAACGGCCTCCGCTGCCTCTGCCCACCCGGCTCCTCGCCTCCGCTCTGCCTACCAGCCCTCTGTGCCCTCCTCCAGGTGAGACAGTTCCCGCCCCAGGCCAGGCCCAGCCTCACCTGTGGTGCCAGGAGGACAGCGGCACAGGTATTTGTCTACCAGGTCTAGACATTTGCCCCCGTGACGGCAGGGCTGGCTGCGGCACTCATCCACCTGGCTCTCGCAGCGCGTGCCCGTGTAGCCTGGCGCACAGGCGCAGGTAAAGCTGGCAATGCCATCCACGCAGCGCCCATGGTGGCATGGGTCTGGAGAGCAGTCGTCTACGTTGCGCTCACACAGCGTCCCCTCGAAGCCTGCAGCACCAAAACCTCAGGCTCGGTCCACTTGCCACAGCCGCCCACAGCTGTGGCCTCCACCCATCCCAACTCTATCTTAGCCTGCCCACTGAGTCATCAGGAGGCGGGCTCAATTCAGATTCCGCCCCCAGCTTGTCTCTCTTGGGACCAACTCCAAGGCCCTCCCACAATTACAGCCCATTCCCAACTGTGGCCCCCATCTCTACTCCTTACACCATCAGCCTCTCCCTTGATCGGAGCTGAGCACGTGTGAAGGACCTGGGGAAGGCAAAGGGAACTGAACCTGCCCCTCTACACTTACATATACCCTGTACCTGGCCAGACCCGCTGACCCCATCCCTAGTATTACCTCATTCTAGTTCCCTAAGCTCCACCCCCAGATTTCATTGGCCCTGCTCTTTGCTGCAGCCCCACCTCCAGGACCTCCCCGAACCTGTTATTGGCCCCCCGCTGCTCTAGCCCTGCCTCCACACTTCCTGGACTGTCACGGGCTCCGCCCTCACCTTCTGCACAGCGACACTCATAGCCGTCTGGTTGGTCCACGCACTTGGCACCGTTCCTGCAGGGCGTGCTGGCGCATTCGTCCACGTCGAGCTGACACGTGGACCCACTGAAGCCTGGGAAGGAAGGGACGAAAGGATGCCCAGCTAGTCACCGCAGTCCTCTGCACCATGCTGCCGCGTTTGCAAGGCAATCTCATCCGCTTGGTTTTTAATTCAGTCCAATCTCTTCATGAAATGTGTTTTCTCTTCTAAATCATCTAACGTGATCTTATAGACTCCCACCCCGGAGCCTCGGTGCCTGTACAGACCGTCTTCTCCGTGTTCCTGTCCCAGGATACTCACCGGAGGGGCAGGTACAGCTGAAGCCATTAACTCGGTCCTTACAGACCCCACCATTGACGCACGGGCTACTCTGACACTCGTCGATGTCCACCTCGCAATAAGTTCCCGTGAAGCCTGGGTGGAGGAGATCGACAGAGCAGGGAGGTGGACCCTGCATTGATCCTCCCGCCCTAGCCTCTCAGAAGCTAGGATTACAGGGTTGGCACTAAGTTGCCCAGGCTGGGCTGGAACTTTCGATCCTCCCGCCTCAGCCTCTCAGCATGTTGGGATTACAGGTGTGCGCCAGCACAACTGGCTCAGAGCCTCACTTTAAACCCAGTCCCACCCTATAGGTTTCCCTCGCCCCAGCCCCAATCTCAGGACCCGCTCCCACATCCACCACACACCTGCCATGCAGATACAGGTAAACTGGCCGATGCGGTCAAGGCAAGTGGCCTGGTTGCGGCAGGGCCCCGACAGACACTCATTGACATCCGTCTCACAGCGAGGTCCAGTGTAGCCACGCCCACACTGGCATAGGAACGACCCCTGGGTGTTCACGCAACGACCCAGATGTTCACAGGGGTTGGCGCCTGAGGGATTGGGGCACAGCTGGTGTGGGCGTGGCAGATCGAGGCCCCACCCCTCTTATCTGATTCCCAGGAGGTGCCCCCCTCACCAATGGAGCACTCATCCACATCTTGGTCACACGCCCCGCCAGTGAACCCGGCTGGGCAAGTGCAGATGGCCCGGCCGTTCACAGGGTTTGTGTCGCAGATAGCATCCTCGTGACACGGGTTGCTGACACAGGCGTCATCCAGGTGGCACAAAAGGCCTGAGAAAAGGCAGGCAGAGATCAAGGGCTGACCCTCTTCCCTGGCATTTTGGGGGAGGGAGCTGGTGGCACTGGGGATTGAATCCTGCACCTCTGGTGTGCTAAGGTGTGAGCCCTACCACAGACACCAAAGCCTTGATTAACCTGCAGAGTTATTTAGTAGCTTTTTAATCCATTTATTATGAAAATCTTCACACATGCTGAAAAGTTGATCATTCATGTACCCACCACCTAACCACCTACATTCCACTCTTGCTAATCTGTTCATCTTTTTACTAAGCCACTTGAAAAAATAAAAAGAAAAGGTGTTTTAAAAACCTCCTGACTCTCCCGATTCTAAAAGGGTCCTGCCTTCAAGCCTTTGCTCTTGTACTGCCCTCTGCCAGGCCCGCCGCTTCTGCGTTTCCACATCTCCCTCCTGGGTACCTTCTCTGACCTTTGCACTTGCAAAATTCCTCGCTTTCTTGGCTACACCTCTCAATAGTCGCCCATTCCAATGGCTTCTGCCTTTGACTGTGTGCCAGCCTCCTCCTCAGCCTCCTCTGGCTTACCCTTCACCCCAGATCCAGCCTCCCCGCACCTTCCCTCAGTTGCTCTCTCCCTTCCTTAGTGCTGAGGACGGAACTCAGGCCTGGCACATCCTAAGCACATGCTCTAGCACTGAGCTACATCTTATTTTTCTCTCTCCCCCTGCCCCTACCAGTACTGAAGATGGAATTCAGGGGTGCTCTACCATTGAGCCACATCCCCAGCCCTTCCCTATTTTATTTTGAGCCAGAATCTTGCTAAATTGCCCAGGCTAGGCTCAAATTTGCAATCCTCCTGCCTCAGCCTTCTGAATAGCTACGATGACAGGTATGCACACCTCCATGCCCAGCTCCCAGTATAATCTTTCTGTTTTTCCTTTTTTGAGACAGGGTCTCACTATGTAGTTCAGGCTGGCCTTGAACTCACTATGGAGCCCAGGTTGGCCTTGAACTTACAATAATCCTTCTGGCTCAGTCTCCCAAGTGTTGGGAGGACAGGCGTGTGCCACTGTGCCTGGCTGCTGCTGCTCAAATCAGAGCCTCTCCTCACCCACTCAAGAACCATCAATGGCTCCCGCTGTGTACAGGGAAAACAACCACTCACCAGTCTTGCCCATGGGGCAGGCGCAGTAGAAGGAGGCCACACGGTCATGGCAGGTGGCACCGTGGAAGCACACAGCTGTGGCACAGTCATCGATATTCTGACTACAGCTCTCGCCAGTCCAGCCATTGACACATACACAGCTGTGGCCACCCAGAGTGTTGAAGCAGGTGCCCCCATTGTGGCAGGCGTTGGGCTGCAGTTGACACTCATCCACGTCCTCTGTGCAGAACTGGCCTGTGGCGCAAAAAGTTCCCAGTCCAGCCACCTGGTGGGTGACCTCGCCCACCCAGGGTCCGCCACGCAGCTCCCTTCAGCTCCGGTGCCTACCTGTCCACTCGGGGAGACACTGGCAGTTGTAGGTGTTGACGCCATCCACACAGGTCCCCCCATTGAGACACCGGTGTCCTGGACAGTCATCCACGTTCACTTCACAGTTCTGACCCTCAAACCCTAGGATGGCAAGAAGAGACCAGGACGGTCACGGCGGGGCTGGCTTCCTGTCCCCACTGAGGTTACATCCTCCGGTGGATGGCTCACTCACCAGGCAGGCAGGCACAGTCATAGGTGAGATCTCCGCTCTGTCTACAGGTGCCCCCATTGCGGCATGGCGAGGGAGCACAGGGCACAACGGGGTTCTCACACAGGGCCCCTGTGTAGCCCCCTGGGCACTGGCAGCGGAAGGAGCCAGGCGTATTGAGGCAGGTGCCACCATGGCGGCAGGGCCTGCCCACCCGGCACTCATCCACGTCACTTCGGCAGCTGCGGCCCTGATAGCCGGACGGGCAGGAGCAGACAAAGCGGCCATCGGAGCCCACAGAGCAGCGGGCACCATGGGCACAAGGGCTGCTGAGACAGGGGTCCGGCAGGGAGCAGTCGGGACCTGGCGGGTGCAGGAGACGGTGATCGTGGGGTTGACCACGCCTTTGCTGACCTGGGGTTCCCCTCCGGACATCCCTTGCTCCTCACCTCGAAAGCCACGGGGGCACCGGCAGGAGAACCGGGCAGTGCCTGCAACCACCGAGCTCTGGCAGACACCTCGGCCAGCACAGGGCCCTGAGTGGCAGGGGTCTTCCAGCTGGCACCTCTCGCCCACCCAGCCTGGTGGGCACCTGTGAGCAGAGAACTGTGGTGGACGCCATCTGGGCAGGGCAGCCTCAGACAAAGATACACACAAAACAGACAAGACACACCAAGCAGAGAGAACGGCAAACACACACTCCTTCATTCTTGCAACAAATACTCGCTAACTAGTCAAACACAGCAGCGAACGCAGTAAAAGTGGTTCTTACCCTGTTGATCCTCACAGCCAGGTCAGGCAAAGGGAACACAGAAAAGTGACAGATTAATATACAACCGGCTGGCAGCAGGAGGTGTAAGCCATAAAGACTATGCAGGGTGGGGCTGGGGATTTAGCTCAGCGGCAAAGCGCCTGCCTGGCAAGCGCAGGGTCGTGAGTTCGGTTCCCGGTACCGGAGAAAAACCAAAAACCAAAAAAAAAAAAAAGACTATGCAGGGTATGATGAGTTCATTGGTGGCCCCCAAAACAATATGTCCACACCCCACAAGCTGTAACTGGGGCCCTATTTAGAAAAAGGGGCCAGGTGTGCTGGTGCACACCTGTAATCTCAGTGTTTGGGAGGCTAAAGCAGGAGGATGGCGTTTGAGTCCAGCTTAGGCAATTTAATGAGACCCTGAACCCAAATAAAACAATAAAAAGGGCTAGGGGTGTAGGTCAGTGATACAGTGATTGCCCAGCATGCGTGAGTGCGGAGTGGGGCAGGAGATTTGGAAGGAAGATAGGAGAAGGTGATCAGCAGACAAAAGCAAGCAGAGTGGCTAAGGCAGCCGCAGTTGAAGATCGCCGGGAGCCACCTGAAGCTGGAAGAAGCAGTGACCAATCATTCTATAGAATTTCTAAAAGGAGCATGGCTCTGCCAACACTTTCATTTCAGACTTGTGACCTCCAAATTTTCTAGAGAATACATTTCTGTTGTTTTAAGCCACCGAGTTTATGGTAATTTGTTATAGTAATCACAGGAAACTCCCACACAGGTTAAATGGAAAGGAATGGTGAGAGATTTTCCAGCACCAGTAATTAAACCCAGGACTTTCCCACCAAGCTACACTGCCAGCTAAATTTTTTTTTTTTTTAATTTTTCATTTTGAGACAGGGTCTCACTAAATTGCCCAGGCTCAGCTTAAATTTGCAATCTTCCTGCCTCAGCCTCCCAGAGTGCTTGGATTACAAGTGTGCGCCATGATGCCCAGCTTGGGTATTATTACAGACTAAAGAAAGTGAAGAGGGGAACCAAAGGGTTGGGTGAGGAAGGACATCCAGGCAGAGGAAATAGCAAAGGAAAAGCCTGTCAGTACAAAAGATAACTGCCCAGAAAACACCCAGGCAGACTCAGAACCACAGAGGCACACACAGAAGGACACACCAGCTCCAGTACTGGCCAGGAAAACAGATGACATGCCACAGCCTCGCCCACCCGAGGATGTGGGCAACTCTCACTCAAACGGGCAGCCGGAAGTCTCCTAAACACAGAAACTTCGCCCAGACAGGGTTACAGGGGATTAGGGTTACAGGGAGGGCTTTCAACATGCCGCCCCCTCCCAAGTTCACTAAGGCAGCCTGAGGGGCAGGGAAATGAGATCTGGGAAGGGATTGGTTTTAAGACTGGAAACCTCAGCCGGCAGTAGTGGCAGCACGGTTGTAATCCCAGCACTGGGGAGGCTGAAGCAGGAGGATCATCAGCCTGGGCTGTGTAATGAGTTGAAGGCCAGCATAAACTACATAGTGAGACCCTGTCTCAAAAAAAAAAAGGATTGGAACCTTTCAGGGGGCACAGGCGGGGATGTCTGAAGGAGGGTCTTGGCAAAACCGCAGGACCACTTCCACCCCTCCCCCTCCTTGCCCTAGTCAGTCCCCTCCCTCCTCAGGATCGTCCCAGACGCCTGGATCTGACCTCAAGCAGGTGACTCAGTTCTTAGCGTCACCCACAACCCCCACACACACACTGGCCCCCAGCGAAACAAGTCGGGGCATAACCCGGGAGGGGTGCAGGTGGTGTAAGGAGAGGAGGTTACCCTACCCCTTTTGGCCCCCGGGCCAAAGGCCCGCAAGACGCCGGCGGCGACCACCATCCTGGGCCGGGAGGGGGCGCGCTGCCCCGGCAACCCTGGTGCCCCCACCCCATCCCTGCTGGGCTGTAGCCCACGCGGCCCCTCCCGGCGCCCGGGGCGGGTTCCCACGCTCTGCGCCCCGCGCGCCCCGCCGCAGACCGGTCGGGCCGGTTCCCGATTCCAGCCCCGGCGCGAGCCCCGCCCCGCGGTCATAGCTTGGGGGGAGACTGTGGGGGGAGCGCGGGCTTGGAGACAGGGACCGGGGATCGGGAGCTGACTCAGGTGGGGGAGACGTGGGGGACCCGGAGGAGGAGTGACAGCTTGGGACACTCCTAAAAGGTCTAGAATGTTCGGGAGCCTGAAGAAGATAGTTTAGGGGCACCTGGGGAGTGGCTCCCCTCTAGCCCCGCACCGAGACCAAGCCCGCTCCACTCCGTGCAATCCGGGCTCCGGGTAGCCGCGCGCGCCGGTGATTCACCTGTTGGGGGGGCGGGGCCGCCCCGGGCGCATCCACCTGTCGGCCTCAGTCCAGGCGCGCAGCTGCACTGCGCACGCGCCTACCCGGCCCAGGCGTCCCAGGGAAGATCACACTTTCTCCACCGTCCCACCAACGCAAACCACTCAGCGTCAGGACCGCCCCCGAGCCCATCTCAGTATCCCCCAAACAGATGAACCCAAAAGGAGACACAGCCAGAGTCTCTTGTCTAAAGTCACCCTAGGCCCGCTGCCTGACATTTCGAGTGCTGAAGAAATGAATACAAGAACAAATCAGTGAGTAGCCCCGGGCGAATTGTTCTAATTATAATTTAAAAGGAACCAGTCCTTTCTCCTATGATCCTGAGAGGCCTCCCCTTAGAGCACCTATGTTCTCTGTCCCTCTCATTATTATTTATGAGCGTTTATTGAGCACTTACTGTATGCTGAGCACATCCTGCAGAGGGTCTGTTTTCATCTTTACAGCCAACCCCCACAAAGGAAGAACTATTGGAAGAACTGTAGTTCACACTGGCCTTGAACTCACTATGTAGCCCAGCAGTCCTCCTGCCTCAGCCTCCTGAGTGCTGGGAGGTGTGCACCACTATGCCTGGCTGATTATTGCCCAATTTTTCACATGCAAAAACTGAGCTCACAAAGCCCCAAACCTTCGCTCAAGGTATCCCAGAGCCCAGAATTCAAGCTGAGCTGTCTCCTGTCGGCTCTCTCCCAGCCCCTGCTCTGCGCATCGACCCAGCCCTCTGCCTTTTCTTGTTTACAGAACAACTAAATTTTTGGGTTCCTCCAGTCACAAGCCAGGGAGGGAAAGCTCTCCTCTTTCGCAAGTGCAGAGAGGGGAAGTGACTAACCCAAGATCACCCATCAAGAAAGTAGCAGATAGTCATATGTGGTGGTGCAGGCATGGAATCCCCACACTCGGGAGGCTGAATCAGGAGGATTGCCACAAGGTTGAAACCAGCTGAGCTACACAATGACTTTAAGCCCAGCCTGAAGCACATAACAAAACCCTGTCTCCAAAAAAAAAAAAAAGGAAAGGAAAAAAAAGGCAGAACAGGTCATTACAGGCCTCCTGTGCCCCTCACCCACTAAACTGAATAGCTGCCTCTACCAAAGGGCTTTATATGTGACCTTGGGAAGCCAAGAATCCTATGAAGCTGAGGTTATCAGACCCGTAAAAATGGAAAACCAGACTATGACACTATGACCAAAGGGATTCATCCCCAGCCAGCCAGCACCGTGACGTGGGGTTTGAGCCCACACTAGGTGGACTCCCAAAGGCCCTGCTCATTCCCAAGGGGGAAACCTGAGAAGCTGCCCAAACCACACACGTGCAGGACATGGCAGGGAGGCAGAGGAAGACGCCGGACTCCCCTCCCATGTGGGGCCCGCTACTGGCACTGAGCCAGGCACTCACAGGCAGGCAGCCTCTCGGGAGGGCAGCTGGGTGCATCGACCTCCATTGGCACACGGGCTTCCGTCCAGGCAAGGGGGGGCTGCACGGGGGTAAAGGAAGGTGGGGGTCAGCCAGGTGCCCAGGAACCCAACCCACAGGGACAGACCCCCTCCCTCCTGCTGCCAGGCAACAGCTGCACTGGGCTGGGGGTGTCTCTGTGGGTGCACAGTGGCCCCCATCCACAGTTCCCACGGCCCCCCGCCCCAGCCCCAGCTGTTAGGGATGCAGCTGTCCCTGCCAGCTCGAGCCCTGGGAACCAGAAGGCAAGGGCGGGAAGGAGGAGGGGCTGGCTTGTGCCAGATGTGGGGGCTCGGGACGCTGCCAGAGCTAAGATGTGCAACCAGGGGGTGCAGTCAGGAAGTGAGGGTGCTGTGTTAAAGGGAGGTATGAGGCTCCTTGAAGCGGTCTTGGGCTAATGGAGGGGCAGCAAACCCTGGGGCTATGGATCCCCCTTTCCCCGACACTGGGCATTAACTCCAGCTGGGTGGCCTCCAAGCTGGGCCTTGGGAGAGAGGCCAAGGCAGGTAGCCAGGAGTACGTGATAGAGAACCAGCTCCAGGTGTTGTAGGGATGGGGCATGTGCTATGGGGAGGGGCAGCTGGTGAAAAACAGGTGCTGCCTGTCCAGTGTCCCCATCCCTGAGGGCTGTGTCCCTCTTGGGTATGGCATAGTCTAACTGTCCTACCAGATGGATGAGGGGTGTGGCAGGGTTTGAGCTAGTGGAAAATTGTGTGCGTGGGCAAGTGCGCCGCCACTGTGTGTGTGTGCGTGTGTGTGAGGGAGAGAGGTGGAAAGGGGAGTGAGTGGAGAAAAACAGACATAAAGAATAGAAACTAGAGCTGGGCATGGCAGTGCACGCCTGTAATTCCAGCACTTGGAAAAATGAGCCAGGAGGATCACCAGGAGTTCGAGACCAGCCTAGACTACATAGTGAGAGCCTGTCTCAAAAGGAAAAAACAGAAAGCAGAGAGGAGACAAAGACGGACAGGGACAGGGACAGAGAAAGAGACAGACAGTGAATGACAGAGTGAACTGAGACTCTGTCCCGCAGAGAGGGCCCTGGGTGTTTGTGTATGCAGAGGGTCTGTGAGCCAGGCTGAGGGGAGGACCACGTGAGCCACACGTGTTCATGGACTTGGTGCAGCAACCTGTGCGGGGACCTGGATACACCCCTGCTGTGTCCCTGTGCAGCTAAGTGTGAATCTGCCCGGGCATGTCAATGCCGGCCGAGCGCATGTGTATGTGTATGTGTGTGAACTGCACACCAAGGCAGGAGTGTACAGATGTGTGTGCTGCATGCGCACAATCGCACCTCTTACGTGTGTGCACTGTCAACTAGAGGTGTCCATCTGTATGTGCCCAGGGCATCTGTCTGTCTGCATGTATGATGGGGTGTGGCATGGCCTAGCATCTGTGTCGAAGCGCATCTGAGTATGCGCAGGCATCGCGTGCGCCAGACCTTGGGCTAGTGTGTGGTCATCCTTGACTGTGCGCGCATGCATGCCGCCTGTGCGTCTCGCGGGAGTGCAGTGTCCACAGTGTCTGTGGCACGTTGAGTCTGCGAAGTGTGCATATTTGCATTTCTGTAGCGTGTGACCTAGAGCTGTGTGTGACAGCCGAGTGTGCGCGGGCTCCTGCCCCGTCCTGCCCGCCGAGGGCCCCCAGGCCAAGCCCGGGAGCCCGATCTCCCCGCTCTCCCACCCCTCACGCCGAGTCCCACAGTGGCAACCCGGACCCCAGCCCTTCCCCTGCCGGCCTGGCCTCCCAGGGCTAGAGTAGGGGATGGAGTGGGGGCGCCCCTGCAGCCCCCGCTCCGGCCTCGCAGCGGATCCCGCTTTGTCTGGCGAAGAAAGCGCGAGGCCGGTCGGGGGGAGGGGGTGTCTAGACGTCGCGGCCATTGTCCCGAGCGGGGGAGGGGAAAGGCGAGGAGGAGGAGGGGCAGGGGCCTGGCCGGCTGGGGAGGGGGCGCCACGGCCCAAGAGGGAGTCTGGGGACGCTCGCCCCTTCTCCACCCGCACGCAGGCGGGTCCCGTGGCAGCGGGGTCCGGGCGCCGGGAGAGAGTGAACGCTGGCGCGGGCTGGGGAGGGGGTGCGCGCCGCTTGGCTCCGCTCCGGTCCGTGCGCTCCGGCTCCGGGACTTGCAGCGCGCCGGCCTGGGAAGTTTTCTAAGCTCTAGAACTTCGCGCCCCTCCCCGCACCCCCCCCCCCCCCCCCCCCAGCCAGACTGCCCGGGGGTCTGGGAGCCGGGGGCTTTTGTGCAAGAGGTCCTCAGCCTGGAGGGGTGGGGTCCCTGGGTTTCCATCGGAGTCTCACCAGGACCCCAGGCACGGGTGGGATGAGAGCGCACCCCCTCCCACATCCTGAGTCCCCGAAACCCGCAACTCGAGCCACCAGCCTGGGAGCCCTGGGTCCCCTTCATCTCCAGCCTCAATGGCTTGGGGGTCTCTGCTCCGCAGGCCCCTGCGATCCTGCACCTCCAAATCCGGGTCCCTGCGCCTCCCGACACTGGCACGCCGTCCCCAGCTCCTGCACCCTCTCAGGCTCGGGACTCCAGATCACAGGACCCTCACCCCAGAACTGGAGGACCTGGCCCCCATCCCCCAACCCGCTCCCCGCCCGGCCCTCACCTGCAGCCCCCAGCCCCGAGAGCAGCGGCGGCAGCAGCAGCAGCAGCAGCCGAGGCAGCGAACCCTTGGGTGGCGGCAGTGGTGGTGAGGACATAGAGTGGCCGCGGCGGCCCCGGGCCCCCGGCCCCATGGCGCCAGCCGCGACCCTCCCTCCTCCTCCTCCTCCTCCTTCTCCCGGCTCCGGGCGCGTCCCGGCCCAGGCTCCGCGCCGCCAACTGCGCCCGGTCGGGGCAGCCGGC